TTCTTCTCTGCCACACTAACCCCTCCCCCTCCCCTCTTCACTCTCAGGCTGGCTCTGGTCGAAACGGTTTGTTTGTTCGCTCTGCTTTGCAACGGTGCACGTGCCGCAAACTGCCCGCCGCCTTCCCCACCATCACCCGTGGCCACGCCCATTGTGACCAACGTGGTCAACTCGCAGTACACGGGGAGCACGTTGGTGGCTGCTAAAATCGGTGGAACCCATCAGTTCTCGCCCTCCTACCATTGTGCTGTCTGGGTTCGCGAGTCCGCACCCGACCGCGACTTGTTCGCCTCGTGCCACGCTCCAGGCCCGTCACGCCTCGAGGGCTTTGTCATCGAGGCTGGCCCGTTGTTTGGCCTTTCCGGCCCGCCGCCTCCAGTCGAGCAGCAGCAGCTTGCTGTCGGTGATCTGGACGTTGACGGGTACGACGAGATCGTGTTTGGTACCAACGACGGCGCCTTCTCCAAGGTCATCATCCGCTCCGAGCACCGCAACGTCACTACTACCGTCAACGACGACGCGATCTTGGGCGTCTGGCTCTACGACATCGACGGCGACCTTGACCTCGATATCATTGCCCTCCTCAAGCGTGTGCCTCTTACTCTGGGGGCCTATCTCAACCTTGACGGCCTTGGGGAGACCTTCTCGCCCCTCAACACTTTTATCGCCGACGACGACATCCTCCGCTTCTGCTCCACCTCGCTTGTCATCGGTCACTTTGTGGGTGACAACTCATTTCCAGACCTCAGCTGCAAGGACGAAGCCGTGAACCGGCCGTGGGTCGCTGCCGGACGGGCCGGCCTCACCTTTGACCCCGTTCGCGAGCTCATCGCGCCTGCTGACATCTACGGCTCGAATCCACCACTTCAGGCCGACATCTTCAACATCCGCGACAACCTCATCAGCACCTCCGAGCTTCCGCCGGTTGAGCTTGACGTCAACGGTGATGGCCTCGACGACCTTGTCTATGTCACGTCGGCGCCCAAGAGCGTCGCGCTCGCCGGCATGGTGTACGTTGCCCGCGCCGCTACTCCCATCGAGTCGGGTGGCATCAACTACACCTACGGCTACGTGGCTCAGAGCCAAGGCGCCATCCTTGCTCGGCTGCCCATCAAGCTCAACACAGGCTGGTCTGCCTTTTCTGCAGTAGACGTCGACGGCAACGGCGCTGCGGACCTCATCGCCCTCGCCAAAAACGTCATCGTCCTCCTGTCGGGTCCCATCGACGCCTCGGCTGGCCTCCGTCAGTTTACCTTGATCACGGCTCAGTCACTCACGCCAGAGTTTGTTATTGACACCTTTGCCGTCGGCGCCGCCAGAGGCGCAGGCCCGGAGATCTTTGTCACCGACGTGAGCTCCTACAGTCACATTGCTCTCCTCACCGCACCGCCGGTTTCGTCTCCCGAGGCTCCCCTCTTTCCGGTGTACAAGCCGCCGACCGTCAACCTTATCGAGTTCAACAAGTTCCGTAACCCGGTCTTTGTTGGCCCCCTCGACGTCAACCGTGACGGCTACCCTGACGGCTGGGCGTTTTTCCTCGGCCGTGTCGTCTTTGTCGCCGGCTGGGCCGCGGCCACGCCGGACTCGATCCTCACCTCGCCAACCTTTGAGCTCGAAAGGACTGCCAATGTGGCCAAGACCGCCGTCGGCGCCATTGATGCCGACGGCGCGGCCGACATTGTCTTTACCCTCACTGGCTCGCCGTCTACCTTTGCCTACATCAAGGCCGCGGACGCGCTCGCCGCCACGCCTGCTGCCGCTCGCCAGCCGACCTACATCACCGTCCCGCCCTCGCTTCCCGGCGTCCTCACCGCTGCCGCCGAGCATATCATGCTTGCCGACGTTGTCGGTGACGGTGCCGGCTACGATATCATCATCACCAACGCCGAATACCTCTACTGGATCCGCAACGAAGACAACGCCGGCGACTACTCGGTCTTTGCCGCCCGCTTTGGTGCAGACTATCCGACTCCGTCGACGAGCTTCAAGCCCAACGACCATTTCATGACAGTTCTTGATGTCAACGCCGACTCCCGCATGGACATTGTCTTCACCTCGGGCGATCTTGTGACTACCTCGGCGCTCTTTGTCTTCCTCGCCGATCCCGCAGTTCACGGCGAAGCCACCTATGGTGCCACTGCGCTCGCCACACCGTTTCTTTGCAACACCTCGTCGACGCTCGGCATGCGGCTCACCGCACTCACACACGGTCTGCTGTTGGTCAACTCGTCGCCGCTTGGCGCCGACGGCACCCCATCGGCGTCCGCTGTCAACCTCATATTCAATGTCGAGGCGGCCAAGAACCAATACTGGGCATGCGAGCTTCCGCTTCCCGGCGCCTCGGCCGGTCCCGCACCCCAGCCGCGCTTGTTTGCCACCCAGGCCGGAGACCAAGGTCGATTCGGCTCATCGATTCGGCTCGTCGACGCCAACGGCGACGGCGTCACCGACATCACTGGCCTCGACGGCAACTCGGGCACAGGCTTCAACGTAGCACTCGGCAAGATCAGCGCCGTGGGCAAGTTTGAACTGGCATTGCCCGCAAAGTTGGTTGACTTTACCGGCGTCCCAGCAGTCAGCGCCTTTCCTGTCGACGCCGACGCTGACGGCGTCATCGACCTGGTGTTTTCCGACGCGACAGGTGGCCTTGCTCGCGCTTCGACCCGCTTTGGCTCATCAGCCATTCTCCGCGGCTCTGTCGCTGCCGTCGACGTGGCCACCTGCGGCTACACCGTCGACTGTATCGCTGCTGCGCTTGCTCAGCTCCCGCCGTCTGCAACCTGGACCGAGCTCCTCCTCCCACCCGGCCGCTACACCGGCTGCGCCCCACTCGGCCTCCCGATCCGGCCTGGCGTCGCCGTTCGGCTTGTTGGCCCACCGCAGGACGCGGCCGGCGCCAACCACGTTGCCCTCGACTGCCAGGGCTCCGGTGTTCTGTTCTCGGTTGCCGGATTGCGGACAAAGCTCGGGCTCACCAACGTCAACATCAAGGCCACTGCTGTTGCGCTCGACGCCGGCCTCGCAGCTAACGATGCGACCCCGTACCCGCACGCTGCTATTGTCGCCCTAGATGGCGCAGAGCTTGTGCTCTCCAACGTTCGCTTTGACAATTGCTCGTCACTTGCTGCCACCCGATCCGCCGCGGCTGATTCGGCCCACACCGGCTACGGCTCGGCGGTCTTTGTTGCCGGACCAGCATCTGCCCGGCTTGAGCATGTGGTCCTTTCCGGGAACCGCGCGTATGCATCCGGTGGCGCCATCGCTGCCGTGGGAGAGAGCGTGCGTCTCGAGCTTATTGATGTCAACGCTGTCGACAACTCGGCCATGGATGGCTCTGGTGGCGCCGTCATGTTTGCCGGTACGGGGCTCAAGTCCCAGCTCGAGGTCACTCGCCTCACCGCATCGGCCAACACAGCCTCGCTCGGCTTCGGCGGCGTGCTCGCCATCGCTATCCCGGCTACCTCTGGTGTCGGCACTATCTCGGTCACTGACTCCGTCTTTACCAACAACGCCGCTCAATACGGTGCTGGCATCGGCGTCTTGCCGGCCCCTGCCGCGCTCGCAGCCTTTAACGCCGGCAATCTCAAGTTGACGGGCATGACCAAGGTTGGACTTTCGCTCACTGGCCTGCAATGCACCGAAAACACCGCGTCAGTCGCCGGTGGCTGCCTCTTCTCCAAAGCCTCCCACGCCGCAATTGCCATTGCTGGCGCAGTTTGGCGCGACAATGTCGCCGTCTTTGGCGGCGCTCTCGGTGGCGTGTTCACTGGCTACCTGCCACTTCCGGCCACGCCTGATCTCAAGCTCGTCGCGCCGCGCGCTGACGAACAGGCCGATACCATCGGACTGGCTGCGCTCGGGTCACGAGCAGCCGGCTACACTGACGCCATCGGCGGCATCTTCTTTTCTGGACCAGTAGACTCGATCATCCGCGACAATGTTGCTGACTACGGTGGCGCCATCTTTGGTTGCCAGATGCCGATGGTCTTCTCCGACGGGGGTGTCGACGACGCTGCGCTTCCGTCGTGGATGAACCTCAACGCCGGGCTAAATGGCGGAGCTCAGGCCAAGGACGGCTCGACGCTCTTCCTCTGCACCCCGCGCACCGGCAGCCTTCCGGCAATGGCACCGCGCGCGCTGGTCAAGGCGCCGCTAGAGTTCTTGATTCCCGGCCGTGATGCCTTCCTCCGGCCCGGCCCGCTCTCTCCGCCGATCGTCCCAGTCCGACCTGTGTCGACACCGCCGTACGCACTCATGCTGGAGAGCAGTGTGCCGTCAACAGCCGTCTCGGGTGTGGCTTTTGGTACCGGGCGGGTGGGCGTAGTCGATGCGCTTGGACAAGCTGTCGACTCGAGTAGCCTCGAGCTTGAGCTCACGCTCGATGTGGCGGCTGGCGCCAGCCTCGGTCTCGTGCTGCCTGGCGACGCGCTCTTCGTCGGGCCGCTGGTTGCTGCTGGCGGCGCAAGCATAGCACAGTCGATCAAGCTCCCGCTGACTGGCTCTGGAACAAGCGCCGGATTTGACCTGGCTTTGGTGGCGCTTGCCGGTGCCACCGCTGATCAGGTGCCGATTGCACGAGCTGTCTCGTTCCCGACGCCGGCGGTGCCTGTGGTCGCGACGCTTCTTGCCGGACCCCCACCAGCGCCAGCGCTTGTCGGACCGCCGCCGGCGGCGGCCACACTCCCAATCTCGGTCCCGATCTCGGCCTGCGGTCCCGGCATGGGCGCCTCGGCCGTGCCCCCGCCGCCGCTCACTGCCGCGCCAACGCTGCTCCTCTGCATCACCTGCCCGCCGAACACGTACTCGGGCGCAACGTCGGCCGATCCGTGCACGCCGTGTCCGACTGGCGCGTTTGCCGACGGAAACGGAAACACCAACTGCACCACATGTCCGGCGCTCTCGACGCCGCTGCCGTCACTCGGTGGTACAACCTGCACCTGCCTGCCCGGCGCATACTCTGCTGACAAGAGCGGCTCGCCGCCTTGCCTGCCGTGTCCGACCGGCGGAGTGTGCGCCGGCGGAGGTAGCCCAGCCCAGCCTGCGCCCGGCTTTGCGCCGTCCGACTCGAGCCCGGACGGCTTTGTCTCATGTGGATCCGGCCCTGGCTGCGGCTCGCAGGGCTGCAAGCGCGGCTACCGCGGTCCCGAGTGCACTGACTGTGAGCAAGACTTTTTCAAGCTCGGCCAGCGGTGCACCAAGTGTGACGGGCGGGTGGTGCCGATGATCCTGGTCCTCTTCGTCCTTGGCATCGCTGTCGCCGGTGCGCTCCTCTGGTTCAACACCCGGACCGGGGAGGTCCACAAGTTTGGCGCCATCATGATCGGGCTCAACTCGCTGCAGATCACCGCCATCTACGGCAAGCTCGCGCTCAACTGGGGTACCCTCGGCGAGACGTGGATGGTCATCACCTCGCTCTCGACATACAACCTCGACCTGCTCACGCTCGAGTGCCTCAACGATGAAGTCAAGTGGAAGGTGAAGTGGATCTTCACGCTCTGCCTCCCGCTCCTGTTCATCATTCCCTTTGCCATTGTCTTTGTCGTCGGGCTATTCTTTGTCCGCCGGGCGGCCAAAAAGACAAACGAGACGGTGGAGGAGGCCGAGGTCGGCGACGATCTTCACTCGCAGGACGACGAGGTGGCTATGACGCGCGACTCGCTCGTCGATGCCACCAAGCGCGCCTACTATCAGCTCCTGGTCATCTTTTTCTCCCGCTGGCATCTGCTGCTCTTGGCTTCTACTCATGCACCCGGCGCGACGGCTCACGGTTCTGGCGCCTCGACGATGCCAGGTACGTCAGGTGCTACGATGAGGGCTACTGGGGCCTGTTCCCGGTCGCTATCATCGGCACGCTGCTGTACGTCGTTGGTATTCCGCTCGCGGTCTGCAGGTTGCTGTTCAAGAAGCGCGAACAGCTGAGCGAGCTCGAGTTTGCACTGCGGTACGGGTTCCTCGTCGGCCGGTTTACAGCCGAGGCATTTGCCTACGAGCTTGCCATCATGGGGCGCAAGATCGGCGTGGTTCTTGCCATGGTCGTCTTCCGCGACGTGATCAACAAGGCCAACGCCGCACTCTTTGTCCTCGGCGTGTGTCTTGTTCATCTAACCCTCACTATGCCATACTGTGCCTCGCTCCACAACTCGATGGCCATTGTCTGCCTCGCCGCTGTCTCGCTTGTCCTCTGGGGTGGCACCATGCAGCATGACGACATGCGGCCGGCAATCGTGCTGGGCGGCATCGTCCTCAACATTGTCACCATGCTTGGCGGCTTTGTCCTTGACTGGCGGCAGATCCGCGCCGACGAAGAGGGCGCCGGCGCCGAGGCCTTTGTCGGCGCCCTTGACTACGATGGCGCGCTTGTCGACGACGGCGACGATGTCAAGGCTGGCCACGCTATGCGCGGCATGGACAGCAACAGTGTGAGCCTCGACATCATGGAGTCGGACCCCAGGCTCGATCGTGCCGACACCGTCTCCATCTCGGACGTCCATGCCGACTCGCTCGCCGCCGACTCGCTGGCGCTGTCAAGCGTCTTGGCCGCCCCTGCTGCTCCCACCGGCGAGGACATTGTCCCGCTCCCACCGCCGCTCACCGTACCTGGCAATACCTCTGGCTCATCGACGTACTCGAGCAGCGACTAGACGGTCGGCCACACACCATCCCGTACATTTCCCCAATCAAAGTCATCGCGTTTCACTTTGCGACATGCGCGCGGCACGCGCTTTCGCATGTTGCGCGACCTGGCGACCTCCGGAACAAGCCCCTCCCCGCACTCACTCAACACCCAGCACGCACACACACACTCTCTCTCTCACACACAGCCTCTCTCCGACAGCACTACACCACTCTTCCTCGAACCCATGTCGAGTGGCAGCAGCAATGACGACGGGGCACAGGAGGTGGCCATTCTCGACAAGGTCCTCCTCCGTCTGGCCATGGCTGACAATGCCGAGGCGGCGGCACCGATCCTGGCAACCTTCCTGGTGCCGGCACTCCAGCTGCTGGCGGCGCCACAAGCCGCAGTCAAGAAAAAAGTGGTGGCTCTTGTCGGCCACATCAACTCTCGCTTCCCCTCCTCACCGGCCGTCTTCCCGCTCATGTCGCTTGTGGATCAGTACATCGATGCCAGCGTCCCACCCCTGGTCAAGAACCTGACCCTCGTCTACCTCAACAAGGCTCTTGCTCCTGTCGCGGTCGCTGCCGATCACCCCACGCCCAAGCTCTGCCAACTGCGATTCGCAAGCTTGTTCACGCCCTTGTCTCGCCGGCTATCCCGGCCAACCATCGCAATGCCATCCTTCACATCATGGCTCCTCATCTCGCATGCGCTGCTCCGCAGCCAGAAGCGCTTCCGCCGGCCGGCGCGCTCGAGGCCGTTGTTGACTTTGGCCACGATCTCCTCCTCTTCCGCCCGCAGGACATTGAGAGCCAAACCGCGCAACGCGAGACGGGCGCGCCGTTGCCGGAGCCGCCGCCGGGTCTCTCGCGGATGCGGTGCAAGCGGCTGGCGTCACTCAAACCGGCGAACCCGTCGCACCTGTCCGCCTGTCAGGCCTCGATCCTCTCGTATGCTCTTGACGTTGCCGCCGCTGATGCTGGCTGGCTGCAAGCTGTGTTCCCGATGGCGCTTGTGGCGGCGCACTCGGCCAACCCGACGGCCCGCGACTTGGCCTCGCACGCCATGCGCTCGCACTTTCCGCCGTCGACGTTCAGCCCGACAAGCGTTGTCACCCTTGATCGGCTCTGCGCATACGTGGCCGGCGACTCGAGCGAGCGCGTTCGGCCAGCATCTATTGACCTTGCCCTAGCCGCGCTCACGCATCTCGCCAACGCACCCGATGCCGCACTTGCAGCGCCGCGGCTGTTTGACACGCTGCGGAGCGCGCTTCTCTCGCCGCAGGCCCGGATGACCGCCGCCGGTAAGGCCCTGTTCCAGGCTCTGTTCCGCACAGCCGAGCCCGAGCGGCTTGTCCCGCTGGCGCGCGCGCTCCTTGACATGCTCCTGCCGTCAATTGCCGGAACTGGCCTCGGCTCGTTTGGGTATGTGGCGGTCGGACGGTGTGCACGGATTGTGCCGTCGCTGGTCGGACCAAACCTCCGGGTCTTGGCGTCGTTCTTTGACGCCGCCGAGAGCGGGAGCGCGTCTGATCGCGCTGCAGTCAAGGAGGCGCTCACCGACTTGATGGGCGCGTTTGACCCACTTCCGGAAAGTGCGCAGGGGCCTGTGTTTGATGTGCTGGAAAAGTACGCCGCGTCGGGAGCAGTCCAGGCACGGCTGATGGCGCTCTTCTACGTCATGCACCTCTTTCCGTTTGCACATCTTCCGTCGCGGCTGTTGTGTGCGCGGCTGGCGAGCGACACCAATCTGGCGGTGGCCAACGAGGCTGAGCGCGGACTCCGCCCTTATATCAACATGGGCGCCGGCGTGGTGCCGGACACGAGTGTGGCGTACCCGGACTTTGGAGCCACTGCAGCGCACTTTGCGCTCCATGGTGCGGCATCACCCGAGAGCCTTGTTCACGGCTTTGGCTTTTGCGCCGCAGCCTACAATGCGTGGCGCAAGAACGACGCCAACGGGTCGCTGCCGCCTGATGCACAGCCGCTGGTTGCTCTCCTTGTTGAAGCGCTGGGTCGATTTGGGGAAGCCCGCCCTGCGCTTCAGGCACAAGCCGTGAGCGTGCTGGCCGGGATGGCGGATGCGTGGGCTCGACCGGAGACGGTCGAGTTGGTGCCGGCGTCCGCGGTTCTCCCGCTGTGCGCAGCGGCCAAGGCGGGTGTGCGTGAGGATGCTGCTCGCGTTCTGGCGGCACTGGCGCCTGTGGCCGATCCTGGCGCAGTCCTCGGTCCACTGCTCGAGGGCCTGGTGCCCGAGGCAAGCGAAGAAGCCAAGCACGGCCGACTGGTGGCGGCTGCCGGGGCCGCGGCAGCGCTGCTCCGCGTCCAGGCAAGCGGACTTGCTGCGACGAGCGAGCCATTGCTTCAAGTCACCGCCCTCGCCGAGCTGGCGGCCGAGTGGCTGGCGGCCGGCGGGAAGAACGTTTCGCCGCTTGTTGGCGCTGCCCTTTGCCGAACTCTCGGTGAGCTCGGCAGCCTGATGCCTTTGCCGCTGAGCGGCGGCGCGGCGGCGCGCGAGGCGACGGTGGGCCAGCTGCTTGCCCTTGTCCCACAGGGCACAGCCGCTACCTCGAGCTCAGGCTCATCGCTGGCGGCTGCCATGCACGGCGCGGCACTGCGTGCTCTTGGTCAGGTGTGTGTCGGCGAGCCGCATGCGGCATATGAGAGCGCGGTCATCGACGCATGCTTTACACTTGGCCGCGTCAAGGCTGTCGGGCTGCAGCTTGGCGCGGCTCACACGATGGCATGCGTTCTGCTTGGATCTGACACCAGCGCGCTTGACGCGGGAGCGTGGACAGTTGTGCGGGAGAAGAGCGAGGCCGAGACCTCGTTTGTGGTTGACCTGCTCAAGCGGATTCTTGTCGACGGGGTTGGAAGTGGGCACTCGTTCCTGCGCCAGGCGGCGACACTGTGGCTCGTGCAGTGCTGCGAGTCTGCCTCCCGACTGGCGGACAACGCCGGGGCGCGGACGGTGCTGGCATCGCACATTGTGGACGTTCAGGCTGCGTTCGAGTACGCGCTCACTGACCGCGACCTGTTCACGCAAGAGGCGGCGTCGACAGGCCTCTCGCTGACGTACCAGCTCTCGACCGAGACGTCGACGCAGGAGCGGCTCCTTGCGGGGCTAGTCAAGACCCTCTCGACAGGTGCGGGCAATGCGACGACCAAGATGGCGGTGCAGGCTGGCGAGCCGCTCTTCCAGGCCGAGGCGCTGGGGCTCACGCCCGACGGTGGCTCGCTGGCAACATACCAAGAGATCTGCTCGCTGGCGACCGACGTTGGCCAGCCGGAGCTCATCTACAAGTTTATGGGCCTTGCGCGGTCGAACGCACTGTGGACCTCGCGGACGGGTGCAGCGTCGGGCTTTGCTGCACTGGCAGAGTCAGAGACTGCGCGGGCAGCGCTGGTCGATCTTGTCCCGGCACTTGCACCCAAGCTGTTCCGGTACCGGTTTGATCCTGACGAGCGGGTGCAGGCGTCGATGGCGCGGATTTGGAAGGCGCTGGTGGGTGTTGTGGCCGAGGCTCGTAGTGAGTCGAGCGTGCAGACTGAGAGGATGATTGTGGCGGAGCAGTTTGACGAGGTACTCTCATCGGCGCTGGAAGGCATCGGGCAGCGGGCATGGCGGGTTCGCGAGGCCTCGGTACTCGCGCTCGGCGCGCTGCTAGAGACTTCGCCGCCGCTGACGACGGTACAGGCGCGGCTGGAGGAGATGTGGACGATGGCGTTCCGGGCACTGGACGACATCAAGGAGTCCGTCCGTCTCGCCGCCCTCAAGGCATGCTCGTCGCTCGGCAAGGTTACTCTGCAGTTCTGCTCCCCTGAGGCTGCAGCTGAGGCCAGTGGCGCCTGCCCTGCCCTCGACATCATGATGCCGTTTTTGCTGGAGAAGGGCCTCGTCTCGGACGCCAAGCCGGTGCAGGCTTTCTCGCTCTCGCTCATTGTGCGGATCGTGAAAAAGGCGCGCGAGCTGCTCAAGCCGCACTTGCCTGCACTTGTGGGCACGCTGTTGCGGGCCATGTCGACGCTCGAGCCGCAGGAGTTCAACTACGTGACGCTCAACAAGGACCGGTACAACCTGACGACTGAGCAGGTCGAGGGCGCGCGGCTGGCGATGGCCAAGGCGTCGCCGATTTCGCGGACGCTGGAGGCTGCGGTGGGCTTTGCGGACGCGCCGACTCTGGAGCGGCTTGTTCCGGAACTTGTTGGCGTCATCACCCGTGGGGTGGGGCTCCCGACCAAGGTTGGCGCGGCTAAGCTAGTTATGGACCTTGTCGAGATGTTGGCGACCGAGGTGACGCCGTACTGCAAGCGGTTGATGAAGGCGCTGATGCGTGCGCTGCACGACTCTTCGCCGGGCATGCGCGCGGCAAACGCCATGGCGCTCGGCTTTTGCGCCCGCCACGCCAAGACCAAGACGCTCGCGCGAACGTTGGGCCAGCTTGTCGACGAGTACATGGCAGCGACGCCGGACTCGGAGGTGCAGGGCACGGTGGGCATGGTGCTGATGCAGATGTCCAAGGCGGCGCCGGGGCGGCTGAAAACGTTTGGCGCTGACGTGCTGCCTGTTTGCCTTGTTGCCATGCACAACGGGCGGGAGGAGACGGCCAAGCTCTTCCGCGCGGTGTGGGAGGAAAACACATCAGGAAACACCGGTGGTGTGCGGCTCTATGCCGACGAGCTGGTGGCGCTGGTGACGCGGGCGCTGGTGGCTGACCAATGGCCCCTCCGCAAGCAAGCCGCGGCGTCGCTTTCGTTCATGGCGACGGCGGCACCGACGGCGCTGGCAGGCGTCGAGTGTGGTGCCGAGGGCGTGCTTGCCGCGCTTGAGGCTGGCCTTGCTGGTCGACTGTGGGATGGCAAGGAGGCACTGGTCGAGGCATACGTCGATGTGGCGCTCCTGCTGGCCAAGGCCGACCGCGCTGCGTTGGCAGCGGCGCCCGCCGTGGTCGACGGAGTGCTGGAGCAGGCTGTCAAGCGCAAGGCAGTGTACCGGTACGCGGTGACCAAGATTGTGGTCAAGGCAGTGCGGTACTACGCGACCGCCGTCGATGCCCGTACCGGGCTCGCCATCCATGCCGCAGTTGTCGCCGCACTCAGCGAAATGGCGTTCACTTCGTTCGAGGATGTTGACAAGCCGGGGAGCAAGCCGCGGTTTCTGGCGACACAAGCCGAGGTGCTGCATGCGCTTGGCGCGTCGTACCCGCTGGCGGCTGAAGCGCAGGAGCCGGAGCCAACAGCCGAGCTGGTGGCGAGCCTGGCGGCGGTGGTGGCGGGCAACCCGTGGATTGTGCGTAACGCAGCGCTCGGCGCGCTGGCTAAGATCATTGAGCGCGGAGCCGGTTGCCTCGCCACCGCCAGTGGCGCAGTGGCTGCAGCCAACGAGGCGGCAATCGCAGCTCTGGACGAGGCGCAGTTCAAGTCTGTACGTGAGGCCGGGCTCGCGCTGGCGACAATCCTTGTCGACGCCTTGCCACGTCTCGGCGCGGCCGGCGAGCCGGTGCGCGAGCCTCTTGAAGCCGCGTTGCGGCGGCGGGAGCAGGACGCTGAGGTAGCCATCGCGCGCGGCGCCAAGCAGGTTCGCCAGGCACTGCAGACGCAGGGGTAAATCGAGTGCATCCATTGGTCATTGACGGGCGCGGTCGACAAGAGCCGAGAGGCCTTCGAGGAGCGAGGAGCCGGCGGAGCGGAAGAGCTCGGTCGAAAGCGCGCGAAGGAAGAGCGTGACAAAGGCACGGGTTCGCGACTCGCCGCACTCAGCGAGTGCGTCGCGGAGCTCGGCGGGAGTGACCCGGACGGTGTAGGCGAGGTCAATGGCGCGCGAGTGTGAGTTGACGTACGCGACAAAGGTGCGGACGGCGGCGAGGCGTGAGGGAGCGAGCTGGTCGCGGCGCGAGGCCGGAATGTCGGCAGCAAGGTCGAAAAGCCGCGATGAGACTCTGAGAGTGACATGCGAGAGCCGCGAGGGGTTGATCGGATCGTAGACGTACTTGGCTTGGACACCGAGGTCGAGGCCGCCGCGTGAGAGCCACTCGAGTGCCGAGCCCGCAGGCGCCATGGCCGAGACCCTGACGAGCGGGATATTCCTTAGCGCGAGCTCGACGTCGGCGTCGGCCCCGCCTGAGGTGAGATGGAAGGTGCCAACACCGTCGACGAGACCCTGTAGCCTGGCCAGCGCGAGCGAGGCCGGTACGTCGGCAATATCGAGGTCGCGGATCTCGGCGGCCTTGACCACCAGCGGCAGCGGCAGGTTCTGCTGGTGAGTGTGCAAGTCGACAACGAGCGCGGCGTGGTCCAGCCGGGCGTGGCCGATGACGACGTGTGGCAGTGGCGGCGAGTGCGGCGCGGTGCGAACGGTGCCCGAGAGGCCCGAGACATGCAGGCTCTCGATAACAGGCGCACCGGACGGCGTGGCCATGCCACGTGCTGCGACGAGATCGACCCGGGCAGCGACCAGATCAAAGCCGGCGGCGATGTCGCGGCTGGCGCCCTCGGGCGTCCGAGTCACCCGCAAATGGTCCAGCCGCAGCTCCGTCCGCGGCAGCAGCAGCGTGCCTTCGGCCGAGTCAAACTCGATCCGCAGCGGATGGGGCGAGAGCCGCGAGGCGAGCCAGGCGGCGACCCGGAGCGACGGCTCGAGCAGCGGGCCCGAGTTGGCGGCCCATGCCGTGCCGGCTACCGCCGCCACCGCCGCCGCTACAGCTACCCAGCGGCGGCTCAAAGTCGGCGCACTCGTCGTCGTGGTCGTCGCCGCTGTTCGAAGCGGGTGGCAGAGTCGCCGGCTGGCAAGGGGAGCGAGCGTCCGCCACATGGCACCTTGGTCGGTGGAGTGGCGTGTGAAAGGCGCCCCGAAAACGTGCAAGGGTGGAGGGAGGGGGGGGGGGGGGGGGTAAAATTTGTGCCGCCCCACATGGTGAGGCCACCGTTTGACATGTGGCATGCTGCAAGTGGCTGGTTATGGTCGGAATTGATTGGCACGCGTGTGACAAGAGAGGTGCGCTGCTGCAATCAAGCCCAGCGCATGCGATACATCAGGGGTTGAGCATGTTCGGGCACGGAAGAGCAAACAAGGTACAAGACTAGCCATGGTAGTCGACAGAGACGCGGGTTGCTTGCGCCCAAGCCAGCGATGGGCAGCGGTGATGGGGGTAGGTGTGGCGCACCACAGTTCTTGGAATGGTTTTTTGGGGAGGCAACCGCATTTCCGCTCACATCTCTCTCACGTGCATCAACCGACATGGGCAAGGGCAACGGCAAGGGGACAGGCATGGGCAACGGGGCTGGGGGGCGTGGACGCGGTGGTCGTGGACGGGGTGGGCGGGGCGTGGAAGGCGTGGCGGACGGGGCGTCCACGGTCATCGAGGTGGCTACTATGGCGGCGGCGGCGGCGAGTGCACGTCCGCAAAGTGCGCCATCGCGACGGGCGCTGCCCTCTGCATGGCCTCGGCCATGCTCATCGCCTTCTGCATTGTGAACATAACAACGGCAAAGAGCCGCTCAGCAAAGACCGTGTACCCGCCCGAAGCTGCCGAGTACAATCAGATGGTTGACGAGTGGGTGGCGAGCAAGCACGCCGAGTTCAACGCCATCAAGGTCTACGCCAACAACGGAGGGCCGAGCTCGGGCCCGCATGGGACACTGTTCAACGCAACGGTGGCCACTGGTGACGCTGATTTTAGACACGCGCGGAGCTATCCGAAGATCATGTACTTCTCGTCGGGCACGAGCACGAGTCGGTACACGGCCTCGGGCTCGCAGTCGCCGACAACGTGGAAGAAGACGGCACGACTCACGATTGAGCTGCCAGACGGCGACGTCCAGAGCGTCTCGTTTGATTTCACCATTGCAAAGTATGAGAGAGTCACGTCGACGCGCTACTCGCTCTCGCGGCGATGCAACTGGCCGGACTTTGTCGCCAACAACAGCCCCGAGTACGACGCGTGCTCCAAGGTTTGTGCGGAGGACGGCGGAAGCTGGTCCGGGAACACATGCACAGTGACGGGTGTCCTCTCGGGATTCTGTATCAAGCTTGTCCAGACGAGCAACCCGTCGAGTCCAGTGTGGTCCGTTTCCAAGTCTGGATGCCTGCCGAAGCGGCAGCTCAACTATGCGGCGGACACCGGGATCGAGGCATACAGGCCGACGCCGCTCTCATCGCCGATCGACATGGCGCGCATCAACATTACTGTCCGCTCAGACGCCGATCCGTACCTGTACCTCGCCAGCGCGACACTGGACACTAAGACTGGGGCATCGTCGTTGGACATTGCCGGTGACTACGTGCCGGGAGAGCAGCCGTCGCGAGTGTACATCTACGCAACAGTCGGCATCGTTCTCGCCAACGTGTGCTACGTTGTGCTTGCGCTGGTGGCACACAAGGCGTACACGCGGCGTGAACAGAAAGCCGCCGGTGCCAAGGCTGAAGCTGAACCTGCCGCGGTGCCGATGGGTGCCACCGCTTCGCCGGCATCGGCCAAGAAGCTCGAGACCATGGCCATGTCTCAGCCTCCGCAGGCTGTGTACGGCGCCCCGCCGCCAGGCATGCCGTACGGGGGAGGCGGCGGTGCCATCCCGCCGCCGCCCAAGCAGCCGGCTGTGCTCAACCCGTACGCTAGGAGTGGCAATCAGTGCGTTGGGGGTGGCAATGCGTACGCGGCTAACCCTCTCGTAGCGGCAACGGCGCCGCCGTCGCCACCGCCACCGTACGCAGTATGATGAGCAGGTAGAGACTCAGTCCTGCCAGACCGGAAAGACCTGAAAGTCCGAGTAAAGCATGTGGCCGTCGGGGCCGTAGTGCAGGAGCTGGTAGCACTCGGAGCACATGTGGCACGGGGAGACCGGGGCCAGCTTATCGCCGTAGACAACAAAGTCGGCGAGCTCGCGCTTACAGATGTGGCAGCGCGGGCGGCGCGAGCGGCCAGTAAAGACGAGATATGGGTAGCAGAGCGAGGAGCGCGGGTCATCGGCGACGACCCGGCGCATGTCGACAAACCGGATCTCGTGGCAGCAGCTGCCCTGGTGCTGCCAAAGGTACGACTTGCCGAGGCGGATGCGGAGGTCGGCAAAGGTGGTGGTCGAGGCCGAGGCGCGGCGGGCGACGCCAAAGACATCCGACACAAAACGCTTCTCCTCACGCATCCACTCGATGATGCCTTCGGCGTACGAGGTGAGCGGCAGCGCCGAGGCCTGCAGCGGCGGTGGAACGCGGTCCATCTCGTAAAAGACAGACTCGATAAAGAGAAAGGCCGAGAGCGTCTGCTTGCCGTCGAGGATCTCGTTGGAGATGCAGCTCATCCGTCGGAGGAGAACGTCAAGCGTGAAAGAGGCCGGGACCCAGAACATCTGGCTCATCGCGTTGCGCTCCTGGTGGTTGACCTGGACAAGGAGGAGGACCTCGCCAAAGTCAAGCTCCTTCTCCACCAAATGCGGGAACTCGAGCGCTCCCCGCTCCTCCCATTCGCGGCGCATCTGCTCAGTGACGTCGTTGGGCGGAACTCGCGGAGCGGTGATGGTCTCCACCGCAGCTAGGCCGGCAAGGCCAGGCTTCTCCCGCAGCTCGTCCATGGTTGGCACGCCCGAGTCGTTGAGGATCTGCGACGCAAGCCACGATGGCGGCAGCCCTGTCGCCGGCTGCGACGCCGGCGACCGGACCTTGGTCGACGTGTATCGCGCTCCGCGGAGCAAGCCTCCCAGCAGCGAAGACCGATCCAGCGCCGACATGCCAGCCTTGGAGTACGACCGCGCGCTCTGCAGCCGCCGGCCGGACTTGAGCATCTTTGGCTTGCGCGCCGCATGCTCATGGACCGGATCATCGCTCGGTGCACTCTCGGCCGCCCGCTTCCGGCTCTCACCCTCGCTGGGCCTTCCGCTCCCGCTTCCGCTCCCCACAGTGGGAGTTGTGGCAGCAGACGAAGATGATGGCGGGGGAGGCGGTGCTGAACTCGAAGAACTCGTCGGCTTGATGTACTCTAACGAGAGGCCATAGTCCGCCAGCTTTGCACGGACAACATCAGCAACGGTATCATCAAGTGACGGCACAATCAGATCGTCTGTCTCCAGGTCAAGGTCGTTGGGTGGGAGAGTGTTCAGCTCGCCGTCAGAGGGGTGGAGGACTACCATGAGCGAGTCGCGGAACTCACCCACCGACACCAGCTCGGTCTCCCGTCGACTGGCAGCCGCAGACGAGGTCATGGGTGTAGTGGTGAACGGGTTGGTGTGGGAGTGGAGTGTGCTTGGTGTCGGGTGGGGGTGGTGGTGGTGGTGGTGGTGGTGGTGGTGGTGGTGGTGGTGGTGGCGGTGGTGGTGGCGGTGGCGGTGGTGGTGGTGGGTGGTGGTGGCGACACGGGCGGGCGGGCGGCACGGGTGATACAGGAGGCAACAGCAGGAGGAATCGGTTGGTGAAGGAGATGTGAGATTCGGTTGCTAGACTCGGGAGATGGTTTATCCGCTCAAAGACCTCCCCCCCCCCTCACCCCCCCCCCCCCCCCCCCCCCCCGGCCCCCTCCCGTCGCTGGTCAAAAGGCAACCGGTCAGACTGCACTCGCAGCACTCATCGTCATGAGCGAGTGGGACTGGATTGTGGTGTTGGCAGTGTATGGCGGAGTGGTCGGGTGCGTGCTGGCCGGACGGAGGTTTGTCCATCATAGCGGGGCATGGCTGGCTCTGTCGCAGAAGCGGCTGTTGGCACCGTTCTCAGCCGCATGGCGAAGGAAGACACCGGCGTGGTTGCGCCTGCTGACGGCAGACATGCTGCCAGCCATGGGCGAGCTGAGTCTGGTCCAGATCGCCTTGATTGTCGCTCACTTTATCGCGATTGGCCTGGGATACGCCCTGCTGATGGCCGGCGCGCAGAGCGGTGGGCCATCCGCAGCCGAGGCAGAAGCTGTGAACCGCCACTCGGAGATCAAGCCGAGTGTTGGCCAGCTGCAGTGGCGGGTTGTCCTCGGCATGGGTCCGTTTGCTGCCGGATCTATTTCCATTCTCTTTCTCCCCATCCTTCGCTCGAGGTGGTACACCATTCTCACAGGCATCCCGTTTGAGCGCCGCATCGTCATCCATCGCATCTTTGCCCGCCTCTTTGTTGGCCTCATGCTCGTCCACGGCGTAGGCGTCCTCGTTCTCTCCGAGTTTGAAGGCCTCGCCTTCCCCTCGCACAATAGTGCTGGCCTCATTGCCATGCTCCTCTTTCTGTTTGTGGCGGCGACCGCGATCGAGCCCATCCGCAGGGCCCACTTTGACTTTTTCTTCCGCTCGCACTACGTCTTTATCGCCGCCCTGGTTGCCACCTTCTTCCACGCCCCGCTCATCACCATCCTGGCGTGTGCTCCAGTCTTTGTCTGGGGCTGCGTTGCACTCCTCCGGGTCGCTCTGGTCCTCCGCAACAGGACTACGCTCGTCTCGTGCCGCACCCTGCCCGGCGATGTGACCGAGCTTGTGCTCGCCCGCGATGGCTTCCATGCCGAGCCCGGCCAGTACGTGTTCATCGGCGATCCACTGCTTGGCTGGGAGCTGCATCCATTCACCGTCTCCAACTACGCGCCGCGGGGCGGGACAGACCTCCGACCGGCCGGCACGATGCGGTTTCTGATCAAGGCCGCTGCCCTCGGCCCCAAGCCGCGCGAGTGGACCTCGCAGTTGTACAACGCCGTGGCTGCCTGGGAAGCCACTGGTGCTGCGAGTGACTCGTCGAGCGAGAGCAGTTTCAACTCGCAAGCGGCGCACCTGTCGGGCTCGCAGCGACGGACGCTCGCAGCGCGCGGCGACGCCCCGCTGCACATGCGGTTCGAGGGTCGGTACGGCGCTTTTGCCATCAATCCCGCCCGATACGAGACCATAGTCCTGGTCTCGGGCGGCATTGGCGTGACGCCCAATGCCGCACTGCTGGAAGCCCTGCTTGCGCCCGATGGGCCGTACGGGCGGCCGGATAAGATTGTTTTCGTCTGGTCCTCCCGAGGCGCCGACCCGTTTGCCACCTGGTTCCCGCACCTCCTCGCTGCCGCCGCAGATGACGACTCAGTCGAGCTCGAGCTGTACGACACGAGCGTGCACACCAAGAGCGACGACTCACCGTCGCGGCTTCGCTCCCGGCGAATCCATCCTGACTCTTCAAGCTCGGCCGGCTCGTCACCGTCGTCCAGCGCCAGCGAGGAGCAGGAGGCACGGCGGCGCGCGACTTCGTCATCGTCATCATCGTCTGAAGACGGCTACAGCTCCGCTGTCTCTGTGTCGACCAGTCTGTGCGACTCGCTGGATGTCCGCGGCGGTCGGCCGGACATTGGTAGTCTTCTAGCCGAGCTCCCGGAGCGGGCTGGTGTCTTTGTGTGTGGACCGATGGCGCTGGTTGACGCCACAGTCGCGGCGTGCAGCGAGTTTGGTCACCACGTTCACACCGAGTCGTTCCTGTTCTGAGTCGATGTAAATTGAAAGGCGCAGTGCTGCCGAGGGATGTGGCTTTATCATGCCGCGCCTAAAAGGTGTCACAGCGTGGGCCGGACGGCGGCGACTTGAGGGTCGTCTTGCCGAGCGGGCCTTCGCCGGCACGCTGTCCGTTCTGCGGGCCGTCCTTGGGCGTCTTGCCCTCGCGCAGAGCGTTGAGGATGGCGTTGGTCGACTCCTCGTTGAGGTTCTCGTAGTACTCGTCGTTGATCTGCATCATGGGCGCGTTGGAGCAGGCCCCGAGGCACTCGACCTCGGTCAGGGTGAACAGCTCGTCGTCGGTCATGTGGCCGGGCTCGACCCCGAGGTTCTTCTTGCACGCCTCGAGCACGCCGTAGCCATCCTGCAGCATGCACGGAGTCGTGGTGCAGACCTAGATCATCATCAGCCATTTGTTGCATCGCGACGGGTTAGCGGGGGGAGAGGCGTGAGTGCGGTGCCGGGAGAAGGAACGAGGAAAGCCATCCGCGGCTAGGATGCAGAACGGCCATGGTAATTTTTTTTTTTGGGGGGGGGGCGCCCCCCCCCCCCCCTTTTTTCT